TTTTATGAATCCCATAGCCTCTATTACAGCTAGAAACTTCACTGAAGTACATGTAGTTAACATACATTGTGATTTTCAAAACTTCTACCTGTGTTTGTGAAGGTATATTGAATGTATTTGACTTGTAATAAGACTTTCTCCCCCAAATAATTTTGTTAAATATGTTTTGCATTTTGGGGACTTAGATGTATCATTCAGTATTTGCTGTGTAAGAAACATCAAATCCCAGTGGCTTTAAAAATCCCAGCCATGTTATTATTTTTTTTAGAAGTTCTATGGATCCACATCTTGGGGTGCATTTAGCTGTGCAGTTCTCATTCTAGTGTTCCCTTGCTTACAATTGTGGATTTAGTCACCTGGTATCTTGACTGAGGCTGTTTGGTTAAAGATGACTTCACTCACATGTCCTGTGGTTTGTGATGACCCTTGGCTGGGCCCTGTGCCTCCACAGCCTTCTTCACAGTGTGACTGTGTTTAAGAGGCAAGCACCAGTGACCAGTACTTTTCAAATTTATGTTTGCATGACATTTTCTAACGTGCCAGTGTGCAAAGTAGGTCACATGACAAAGTGACCAAAGCAGATCGCATGACTAGTTTATTGTCAAAGCATGCTATGTGAAGGCTTGGGTACAGGGAGATCAGTGTACCAGAAGAAATATGCATTATATATATGTATATATTTTACCTATATAGTCATGGGCAACAGGTGCTGGGTTACAAGATGCACATTATCCAGATATTTAGGTACATAAAAGGAAGACGTGTTTTAATGGAAACACATTTTGGAGATGTGTGAGCTTGATGTATTAATAGAGTAACAGTTAATATAGCCAAAGTATTTCTACAACACTAATTCTAGTGATGTCACAATGTGTTTTTCTTTGGTTTAATGTATTAAGTTATATGTTTAGGTAATATTGATTCATGCTAAGTCGGTAGGCTAGTGTGTTTTCATTGATCCCAAAATAAATTGTGTGTGTAATGTGTAGCTATTAATGTACTTGTAGCCACATCTTTAGTAGGGTTTTTGTTGCCCCTTAGTGAGGCATGAAGGACTGTTTACTCACAGGAAGGCCTTTTGTTTGTCTTTTTGAGCTAATAAGTAGAGAGTTTGGGGAAACAGAATGTAGAGCCAAGCCATAACAATTCTCTCCTTAATCCACTCCATTCTCTTTTCTCCCAGCTATGCTGCCAGAGTGCGCTGTGGGTTTAGAAGAGCAACAAAAGATTAATAAATCTCCGGTGAGTTTTTTGGTTACTTATTGCTTACTTTTTTTTTATTGTATTATATAAGCTTTATGTCATGCATAAATTAAAATTGAAAAGTACAAACGAGTAAAACTCGACTTGAAAGAAATGTACATTCATAACATAAAGTTGGCATGTAGATATAGCAGTTTGTAAGACCTCAGAGTCATCTAAGCTCAATAAAAATTTTTCTCTGGCCTTTGTGATGTCATAGAAAACAGGCAGACACCTTGTTTACATGATTGAAATGGAACTTGAGACGATAATCTGCCAAATTCTCTTGGGATGTGAAGACTTGGTGGCAGCAAATGCTTCAACAGCCAACAATATTAGAAAGTTTTTCATTGCTGACCCGGAAATCAACATTTCTTACTTTCTGCAGTGGAAATAGTTACCTAGTTCTAAGGCACAAGTTGCTTAGTAAGCTTTTTATAATGTTTCTAAAATAAATCTAGTTCCAGATGGCTTTCGAAAACTGTACTAGATTCATAGGAAAAACCTAGAATTATAAAGTAAATTATAGTCAAATCCAATGACTATTCTCTAGTTTTTTTCTAACTTGAGTCTTCTGCTACATTTCGAACCACTGTTCATGATATTCTCCTGGAAATTGCTCTGTGTTAGTTTATTAGTTTCTCTTATGACTTCGCTGATGTTTTTTGCTCTTTTCCCCTTAATTCTTCTACTTTCTTCTTTATAACGTAGCTTATCAAAGTGCTTCATCCTGGGCCCTGTTCTTCTCATGTGAAATTCTTTCTCATTGATTCAGTCCTCTGTATTTTGCACTCCCCTTTCTCTCCAGGTTGTACATCTTCCTTAGTCTTTGATCATAGGTTGAACTCTGTTGAATGCTTGTTTGTAGCTATTCAAAATGCACCTCAAGGGGCTGGATTGTTAGCTCAGGTGTTTAGATCATGGTGTATTAACACCAAGGTTAAGGGTTCAGATCTCTGCACCAGCCAGCTGCCAGGAAAAAAACCCAAAATACCACCTCAAGGTCAACAATTCTAAAATTAAAACGACTTCTTCTTCTGTTACATGTGTTATCACTACCGCCCCACCACTGACACAAGCCACCGAAATGAGATTTCTCCTGGACTCCTCCCTATTTCTTGGGTCTAATTTGATCTTGTGTTAACTTCCTACTACTTTTGCTTGTTTGGTCTTTTTATTTTATTCTAAGTTCTATATACACTGCCAGTATAGGGGGAGGTGTTTGTACTCATAAAGACAGTAACTTTGTTCCACTGGAAATATCATTCTTGTAAAAACCTGAAGGTAATGTTTGCTGGACTATGAGGTTCAATCCCTGGTGACCTATGCTTCTAGCCAGCACCTGTGGTGACATCCTTAGGAATCCATGGGGAGAAAGCTTTCAGGAGTTACTGGGACGTGTTTGAACAACGGTCAGTAAAAGGACATGAAATGATAAAAACAGAAAGTACAAATTTTCGTAATGTTTATCTTTTGCTTCTGTAAATTTACATCAGTGATTATATTTGTAGTTTTTATAATATACAGTTATCTGTAGTTTTAAGACCCATTATGTTTTTAAACTTTCTTTCAGATTGTACTTTATTCTTCTCCTATTTCACATAATTTTAAAAAAATGAATGAGAGAAATGAATGTGCATTAGTCATCAGTATGATTTTAAAGTAGAACTAACTAACAGCTAGTTAAGAACAAAAACACAAATCAGTTAACTGAACATTTACATTCACATTTGTAGTTTGAGACCTAAGATGTGAAATGCTTTCATTCTTTGTTTTGAAAGTAATGTTTAGTTTGAACTGACACTCTTCATGTTTCAAATCAAAGTACTACCTAAGGTCTCTAATAACTTTTTTGGTGTTCCAGTGATCTGCTGTGCAAAAGTATCACAAAACTACATGGCTTAAAATAAGAATGTCTTATTACACATCACAATGTTTTGGGTTAGTAAAGTGGACAGGGTGGTGTGGGTTCACTGCTACACAATGTCTCTGCTCTGAGCTGGAAAATCTCTAGTGGCTGGGAACATTGAGCAGGCATCCAGCCCTCTCTTTGTGGCCATGTTGGACTTCCTCACAGAGTGGCATTCTCAGGGTAGTCAGGTTTCTCTGGCTTCTGCCAGAACAAGTGTCCAAGAGGCCCAGGCAGAAGCTGTAAGAATTCTTGTTATCTCCACTCAGATACCAAGGCATCTCTTCCAATGTCTTCTCTTAGTCAAGCACATCAATAAGACCAGCCTTGATTTAAGGCAAAGGCAATTAGATTCCACCTGTCAATAAGAGGAATAGCAAGACTTTGTATCACTATTTAATAGACCACAGTCTGCTCTCTGACCATAAACTTCTACCACATGCAAAGTATACTTTGCCCCTCTCAAGAGCCTTAGAAATATTCTACCATTGTGCGGTTGACAAAAAGCCAAACTAAGTTTGTGTCCTGTCATCTTTTTATTACACACCCAGCTTAGAGTAAACAGATGTCATGACCACGTGTGCACTTTTCTTCCGAGAGGGTTGGTGAGAAGGGACAGCACCCTGAGGGCACCGGTCTGAGTAGTTACTTATTCCCCTCAGGCATCTGCTTTAGTATCTCATTAGGGCCCAGTCCTGGTCCCTGGAAAAGATGCTTTGTGCCTCTTCACTCTGTCCTCTGGGCTCTCACCATTCTCTGTCAATATCTCTTTTCCTTAAATGCCTGGGTTTGCAGTTGGCTGACTTTCTTTACCTATTTTCGGTTATTATATGTTGGGTGATCCAATGACCTTTTTTATTTTTTTCTGCCTCTGGCCTTTTGATATAGGAAATTATCTGGTGTAATCACT